GGTGTAAAAAGAAACAAATTGAGAGGAAAATAAAATAGCTTAACTACATATTTTGAATTAGATCAGTAAGCTCTTCATCTGAAACATGCATCATTATATAGGTATAAGCACATTGAAACTAACAGAAAATAATCAATATAAATCAGATTAAAATATAGAGATTGGTGTAAAAAGAAACAAATTGAGAGGAAATAAAATAGCTTAACTACATATTTGTAGATGTAAGACATCTTTTCGAATTTTAAAAAATAAATAATCATTTTCCTGCTTCCGCAAGAAGCAATAATTCATCACAATCTACTCTAACAACATGATTAAACATAAAAATAAAAACAAAAGATAGAGATCTAACCTGACATTGCAAAGAACATAAAAACGGATACGACCACAAAATAAACTCTCAATCACCAAGCAAAATAACAAAATCTGCATCAACATAAGCTTATATAAATTTAAAATATAATACCTTAGTTGATCATCCCAAATAGAGTAACATCGAGGTAAAATAGAGCTGAAGAAGACATCACCTGATAAATTTTAAAAAATTAACTCCACGACAAGAAATTGATGCATGCTAATACTCTTCAATCGAAGTTCTTATTACAATTCAATAAAATGAAGAAAAAAATGAACTCACCATTTCACGAAACATACGATGGTTGACGGAACGACTCTAGATCTAAATACAATTTCAATCAAAATCTTATTTACAGTGTGATACCTGCTTGAACAAAGTCTTTCTTAGGCTTTGTTCTAATTTGAATGTTCGAATGTTGAAATGAGAATATATTTTTTACCAAAGTTATGTTGACAAGATTCAAATTAGAGATTTCGTTCTTCCAAGAAACTTTACAAGAAAAAATTAACAATTACAAAGAACCCAATTGAGAAAGGGTAACAGAAGAATATAAAGAAAACAAAGGAAGAACACTTACAGTGATATGAAAAGGAACACATGAGCTTAGAGATGACGGATCTAGCTCTGACCGGTGACGATCTAAACAGGAAGCTCACTTTCCTAATCTCAAAAATCAGATTCCATCAGTGCATGTTTGGTCTCCTTCCACAATCTAGATAGATCCATATTTTTAAGTTTCATTTTTTTTCTTATTTTCTACTACCTGACGTTTTTCTCCAACTTTTTGTTTCCATTTTTTTGTTATTCAATAAATTGGCCCATGGCCATTTGTTAATTAAAATAAAGAAGAAAGATGGAAATATTGAAATGTGTGCATACATTGAAGTCTTACTATACTATCAAGGCACGCTAATCAATATACCTAAAAAGTTGTATTCTTTTATAATACTTCCTTTATTTTATACCTCCTTCGTCAACTTTTAATTGTTATATTTAGTTTTTCAAAAGTCAATTTGATCAATTTTCAAAGTAAAATAAGATTACATTAATTCGATATTTTAAGAAAAATATTTGTATATTTCAAAACTATACAAAAAGTACTACAAATAGCCATATATGCATATTAATATGATAGAAAAATATATCGTAAATTGTTAGTCAAAGTTCTTATTTTTACTCTAAAAAAAATATGGCAATTAAAAGTGGACAGATAGAGTATTAGTTTATTATTATACTAAATATAATTGTTGCATATTAATTTATCATTATACTAAATATAATTAATTTATATTAATTGATCACCTTACTAAATCAATAAAACTTTAATAACTATTTTTTTTACTACTCTTGCAATTGATTTTATTTTTGAAAGTATTCATATTTGTTTGTATAATTCACAAGAAGTATTTTAAGGTGTGAATTAGAAAAATCATCTTCTTATTTATGTTTTTTAAGCACCGTAAAAAATTAATAGTGATCAACTAATATGAGACGAAAGGAGTATAACACGCACACAATACTTTATTAAATATTATTTTATATTATAAATTAATATAAGTGGCTTATGTTTATTATGAAAATTATAAAAACATTACTGTTGGGACCACAAAACAACTTTATATTTTGATTAAAATAATTTCAAAATATTATATATTGTTTTTCATTTAATTTTTGTTGATATTTATATTTCATATAAAAGATAATTCAATATATATTTTTTTTTTCATTTTAATATATCCGCGCAACGCGCGGGTACGTATACTAGTAATAATAATAATAACAACAACAACAATAATAATATTATTATTATTAATAATAATAATAATAATAATAATATATTGAGTTTTTCTTGTGATTACGTATATAATAAATGTAACACCTCAGAAATCAAACTCACCTGAACAACAGAAAATTGGGTGAACCACGGCGGGGTTCATGGACCGTGAAAAGGACTACGGCTTGTCGACCTGCACGTGGATTCACACTCAGACAGCGTGGCGGACCACGGAGCCCACCACAGGTTGTGGTCCCAATGACGGGCCGTGGATAGGTCCGTCGTCCAGAACCAGTAGACCCCAACCCCAAAGTGAAGAACCACGGTGGCCATCACGGTCTGTGGTCCTTCACAAGGTCTGTGAAGTAGACTGTGGTTGGGGGTACCAAGAACCAGTAAGCTCTGGCCAGCAACCACGACCCACTTGACAGGTTGTGGTCCCGTTCACGGTCCGTGAGTGGCTTCGTGGTTGGCCTCCGATATCTTTTAAGTTAGGGTCGTTTTAGTCCTTTCCCCTATGCGTTGGACACCTAAACTATGTCATTTAATTTCTAAACTACGTCGTTTTACTTAGTTTAAGCATAATAGTCTAGTCAGAACCTAATCAAAAACCTTTATTCTCAAAATTAATCGAAATTAGAGCCAAAAAGAAGAGGAAAGTCGACCAGCCCCTCAAGAACAAGCAGAAGGTTTTCTTCAAGTTTTAGCCTCGAAATCAAAGGATTTCTCCGTAGATTTTGTCACCAGGTATGTGCACTAGTGGGTTCCTGATTTCACGTATCAGGACACTTCATCCAATACTAAGTGCCAACGATCGTTAGTAAGTAATATAACCCAACTAAGTGAGTTGGGGTCGAATCCCACAAGGAGTGGTACGTATTTGAGAATCAATAGAAAAGCATGAATATTCTCAAGTCAACCATAGGTAAAATATTTACGAATAAAAGCATGGTTCAAGTTTTGGGGTGACACAAGTGTCAAATAACAAAGGGGGTTTGATTTCAACTATCAACTACAACAGCAAATAACACGAAAATAGCAAGTATATAGACGGGTTCTTGGGATGTGATCGGATTATGGGGGAAGGTAGACAATTGGGTAATTGCAATTGATAGTAAACAGTTGTAAATTAGTGATTAAGCTAGAATTTAGTGGGGATAAACTTTCTCTCGAACAGTTTACCCCGAATCAAATTAGTTTCTCTCGAACACCAATAAACAGCAATTAAGAACAACCTACGCTTTAGTCCATTCACTCTCTTGAGTTGAATGTGTGGAAAATGGTTTAGGATTCACTCTCTCGAGCTGAACCCATGACAACCCAATACCCACAGACCATCAAATCAATAATATTGGTTTTAAAACCTCTCTCTTGAGCAAGCCAAAAACATGAAGATAGAGTTGCATTTGCAACTACAACCCTTTA